GATGATGGGACTTGATTCAAATGACTAGAAAAGAGTTTTCCACTGAACTTTAAGAAGAATTTCTTGATGATGCTGGTTGTTTGATAGTGGAATAAACTATCTCAAAAGGTGGCAAGCTCTTTTTCCTTAGAGAATTTTGAATGGTCTGGATGGCCGCCTATCACTGATCTCAGCCAGCAAATTTTCAGCATGTAGGGGTGGAGTTGGATTATATAACTTTTGAAACCCCTTCTAAAGGTCTGTTACCTTTATATCTTGCTTTGTCAGTTTGCAAAAGCTTATAGCTGGATGCCATTATTTTGGAAATAGGATACTGTTCTTTGTGGCCTCTTGGACAATTCTGCAGGGATAGTTTTTTATGATTAAAATCCAGTATGTTCTGAGGTTTCTAGCTGCCCATTGCTCAATTAACTGTTTCTTCAGACATTTACACTGATTTGCACTGAAACCAACAGATTGCATTTTTTGTCCAGATTGGAAAGGAACTACGCCAGGATTTGTTCAATATGACCCAGCTTGGTGCCCTCCAGGATGGGAATTGTCTGTCGTAACTACTAATCAGAACGGGAGTTTAGCTTTGCAATTTTGTGCTATGAAAAACCTATAGCCTTCTCTTTGTTCCCTGTAGTTTCTGTGTTTTATGTTAGTTAAAAATTCGCATAACAGTCACAATTCTATGGTTTTGTTTGTAATTGCATTACCTTTTTTCTTTTGTTAACAATGGTTTAATTAATCTGACGGTAGTTAAAATCCACTGCAGTCCTGAAGGACTGTGGATAGCATACAATAACAAGTACCAACCTAGACAAAAAAGAGAAAGGAAGAAGGACATCAAAATAAACCTCCATCAGAAACAAAGGATAAAACCCAAGAGAGGTGCCTATGATAATCAAACTGGAAGGTCTGTAGAGGTCCTTTAGTCCAACCCATGTTCAGTGTGAGATCTAATACAGCAGTATTTCTTAAACTTTTTGCTCTCAGAACCCTTTCCCACTTTTAAAAATTATGGAGGACCCCAAAAGAGCTTTTGTTTGTTTGGGTTATATTTATTGATATTTACCATATTAAAAATTAAAATGGAGACATTCGTAGAATTTTTATTGAATCGTGTAAAAATAACAATATTAAACTCATTAGATATTAATATAAAACATTTTTCATGAAAAAACCCTATTTTTTTAACAAAATAATGAGAAGAGTGACATTGTTTTAAATTTTTGCAAATGTCTTCAATATCTGGCAAATAATTTTGATTTCTCGGACCCCTGAGAGGATCTTGGGGAACCCCCAGGGATCCTCAGATCACACTTTAAGAAACATCACACTACAGAATCATTGACAGATGGACATACAGTTTCTGAAGATCTCAAGTAAAGGTGAACTTACCACGTCATGTGGCAGCTGGTTCCGCTGGCTGATAACTTGTATGGTCAGGATGTTCCTCCTGATGTGTAGCCTGAACTTCTTTCCTTGTAGTTTTAATTCTCTAGTTTTGGTCCTGCCCTCTCGAACAATAGAGATAAGCCCCCTCTCTCTTCTGTATGACAGCCTTTCATATATTTGAAGTCTGCTGTCATAGCTCCCCTTAATTGTCTTTTCTGTAGGCTAAACATACTTCTATCCTTTAACTGTTCTTTACAGAATTTGATTCCCAAACATTTCACCATCTTGGTAATCCTCCTCTAAGCTTACTCCTATCTGTCATGGTCCTTTTTGAACTGTGGTGCCCAGGTCAGGATGTTGTAGTCCAAATGGGGTCTGACCATGGAAGACTAGAGAAGAAAAATTATTTCCCATGATCTAGACTTTGTTTCTGTTAAGGGATCCCAAGGCAACATTTGCCTGTTTAGCAGGCACATCACATTTCTGGTTCATGTTTAACTTTTGGTTGACAAGACACCCAGATCCTTTTCACAGGTACTTCTGCCAAGCTAGGTCCCCCCCCTCCCACTTGTGTCATACATTGGCTGCCATGTCCAGGGCATTTTTACAAACATAGTCTGGCGAAAAAAACATTCATGACCACCCACCTCATATTCCAAATCCCTTCATCTAGCCTAAGATCTGTGCTCCCAGTCACCATTCTGCTACCATCAGGATATACTTAATCCTTTACTCATTCCTGGGAAATCCAGGCCAGCTAGTTGATGATGAAGTCTCCATTAAACATTAACACTCAGTGATAATTCTTCAGCCTGTCTTTCTGCCTCTTCTATCTACCCAGGGAAAAGAGGAAATATAGTTCAGTAGCAAAGCACATAGATAGCATATGGAAGATCTGTCCTCTATTTTAAAAGGCTCTGTGCTGGACTTCCTGGACTGTGGTCGTTGGCCTGAATAGCAATGCTGCGTTGGGTGGACCAGTAATTTGGCCTAATATATATGACAGTGTCTGTGTTGTATATCATCATGCATTGGAAAGGGTCTCATGCATACTTTCCCGTCTCTTTTGGCCCACAAGGCCATGGCAAGGTTGTTAACAGTCTAAGGTGATAAAGATGCAGAGGCACTCGCACTTGAAGGCAAAAACAGAATTATATTCCTGGTCAAGATTCAAAGAAGCAAAAACATAAGTTAGAAGCAATGTGAAAACCAGGTTTCCAGAAAGCAAAGACAGCTTGAATTGTCATGGAATTTATTTCAGCACTGTGCCACGTTGAGGCAGGGCCTTAAATGTTGGAGCTCCTGGCCTCCAATTGAGCATGAAAGTTCTGATTACAAGAACCAGGCTACATATGCTTGAGTAGATCATCCCATCCAAGGTGCCTCCTTGTGCAGCCAAGCACTACTCCATCTCTATCCTTTAGCTTTCCACACAGAGGCTGGCTAGGTGGTTGGGCCTCTCTTTCAATGTGTGTATGTCCAAGAATGTTGATAGTAGTGGAATATGCCTTTTCTCACCACTGGGGCTTGGCTTTTCAGCATCAGATGTAGTAGATGCCTCATAATGTACTTTTGCCTCATCTGAAGCCAATGCATAAATTAGAGACATGGCATCCAATTGGCTTTATATTTTGAAAAACTATTTGGAGAGGAACAAGACAAGCAGGTAATATCTTGAAGAAATTGGCAAACTTGGGTTAGTGGAGCCAGATGGATGAGGATGGAGGGTGTAGCTAACGTTGTAGATAAATAGAGAGTACAACATTATCAGATGGCTGATGTTGCACAACGTGTGGAAGACTTGGAAAGATGGAATTATTTATACATGCCTTACCAAAATGGAATCTTTCAGACTTGGAGGCTACCCATTTAACTTGCATGTTTTAACTTAGAACTTTGTTTCTTCTTTACTCTGTGTCCTCCTCCTCCTCCTCCTCCAAGTAACTTTCTTGTCAGGTTGCCCAGTCTCTTGTCTTCAACGTGGTATATGCTCTATTTTTAATATTTTCTTTTTCTACCTTCCCATTTCCAGGAATGTGTCTCTGTCTTAATTGTTCATTCTGGAAATGGAAAATGAAGCAAAGTTTGCTATAATCAAGCACAACTTTCCCAGGTTATGTAGTTGTATTAGATTCATACTACTGTCATACCTTGCTGATAGAAGGCAGAAGAAGGTAGAAGTTGTTGGGAAATGTCCAACATAACTGGAAAGAACCAGGCTGGGAAACCAGATATGATCTACAGGAACTTCAGATATAGATTTGTGCTTTGGTATGTTGGCCACACTAGATTTTAATTGTATGCAGTTAGTAATTAGTATTGTCTTCTGAGCCACCAAATCTGATTTCCATTCTCTGGGTCAGTATTCTGTATAAAACTCAGAATGATGGACTTCAGATTACATTAAACTTCACATAAAGCTTTATCTAATGCCTTCCATTGGAACAGTTTCCTGAAAGATAACTGTTGATACTTTACCTGAAGACCAATAAGAAATCTTGTGGTGCTAATATATTTATTAATGCACAAGCTTTTAAGGCTTGTAGTTGATCTGATCTGCTCTCATTGGCAGTGTGATCTGGAGGCCTGTGGGCCACGGACTGGGGACTGGAGCAGCCACATTGCAGGCTCTGGCTTATAGCTTAGCATACAAACTCTGTCTGTTATGGTGTCTGTAATGAACCAAGAAGAAACAAAGTTAACACGCCATGTGAACCATGCCAGTATATACTTAGTCCTAGAATTGTCAAGTGGCATTTTTTGATTGCAAGTAGAAGTATGCTTGTGTATGATACTGCTGTGAATTTCTGTTCATAATAGTGGTGAGAAGAAGTATACAAGCTAGGCAGTTGTCTGCCTCCTGAACCATAAGGGCTATAAGTTTTCAGTGTTTTCATGTGTCCCTTGTAACTCAAAGAGCTTGCTGTTTTAAATGTAAATAAAGTCTCCTTGGAGTCAAGGTCAACTCTTAAGTGGCTACATGGGCATTTCCATTTTGTTTTCTTGGCAGTAATACAGAAATGGTTTGTAGCTATCTTTCCCCAGGTGGTGGTTGTTGTTTAACTTCCCTGTCTAGCCTACAGCCTTGCTTTTTCCTCATGGTCTTTCATCTACATACTAACCAGGTTTGACTCTGCTTAGGCTTCTGACATTCGGCCAAGGTCAGTTAGTGCTGCAGTTAGCAAAGCAATACAGTAGGAAAGCTATAACTTATCCAGAACCACACAAACAATAACAGTAGATCCTGACTTAGTCATTTAATTAATTTTTTTTAGTATTGTGGAATGAAACCTAAGAGATGGCCATGTTGGCTGAAGTCATGCATCATTTTCAGCCACGATTTGTTTTAACTATGGCTTCTTGAATTATCCAGAATGGCTGGACTCACATATGGCCCTAAACTACAAATCGCACATGGCTGGCTTTATCCAAGGGCTTAGTCCAAACACCCACAAACTATATTGTGGCTTATATAATCCACAATCCATCCAAAAGGGTATTTCATGTCCTGTTGTGAGATGAATCTAGTTGTGCTCCCTCTTCTTACTAGTGACATTTTTAGAAGTCTGTTCCTGACTGTGGCTTTCCTTCACCATCTTTCTCTTTTGTCACCCCAGGCCTATGAACTTTCTACCCTTACGGGCACTCAAGTGTTGCTACTTGTGGCCAGTGAGACAGGCCACGTCTACACTTTTGCCACGCGAAAGCTGCAGCCGATGATCACCAGCGAGACGGGGAAGGCGCTGATCCAGACATGCTTGAATTCTCCTGACTCCCCTCCTCGGTCGGACCCAACCAGCGATCAGCGCATGAGTGCTACGGGCTTTGAGGAAACAGACCTTACGTATCAGGTGTCTGAGTCAGACAGCAGTGGAGAAACAAAGGTATTCCCATCCCTGGTTTCTGCCTTGGTGGAAGCATCTTGTCAGTCTTTGGTGGGGAGGGTAAGAGCAGCTAGCATTGTTGCTGTCTACATGTGCTTTAATGCACTAGGCCTGCAAGGCCTTGGCCTCTGCGTAGCACCAGCTTAACTGCAAGGAGCTGATTGCTTCCTTCACTGCTTTGCGCAGTAGGAGGACTGATGTCTAGCAGTGTAAGAGTTAACTCCTGGTTAGCTTTAGGAAAAAAAAAACACAGGGTGCTCTGGGGGATGCAGTAGATGAGGAGCTGTTAGGGCTTGGACTCTGCTGTTAGGCTTTGCTTTGGGGAGCAGCAGCACCCCTGATCCCCAGCAACCCTCTCTGCACAAAGGGACGTGTTACCGAGCTCTGGTCAGGGGCAGGGTTGGCAGGGGGAAAGGCTGAGTGCTTTGATTGCTCAGACTCCTCTAGTGTTACTTCTCCTGGAAGGCTGTTCTCCCTTCCCCCACTATCTTCCCTGGGACTGGAGTTGCTGTGCTGGATGTCTGCCGAAGTGGGAGCAGTCTGCGTCTTGCCTTGCCCTGATGGCAGCACGCGTTGGGCGGCTGGGCTGGGCGGTATGTGGCAGGTGCTCTTTGCCTTCCTGCCAGGACCTCCTGGAGCGGCTCTGTTTTCGGGTTATCTCTGCCTGGGCGTCTCTGTGCTTGTGGTCATTGATAAAAATTGGATTCGGCCTCCGTGGCCATATAAGGCCTGGTTTCCTTCCCTGGAGTCCCTGGCTGGGCCTCTCACATTCCTTATAAGCTGCAGCTGTCTCTTGCTTGGTGCTGTTTTGGAAGGGGGCAGGGAGGAGAGGGGGAATCGAAACACTTGGCTGAACAGACTATTCCTTCTTTCCCTCTGAGTGTCCAGCCAAATGCTCTGCTAGCTTAACTCGTTACTTTCGCCCCAGCAGCTGGAGCATCACTAGAGAAGTGAGGGACCCGGGGCGTGTGTGTGTGTGTGTGAGAGAGAGAGAGAGAGTACCTGCCTGTCTTGGCCAGAGAGAGCAGTTGTTTTGTTATCTCTAAGATGGAGAAAAGTTGTGAGTGGCTTTCTTTCAAAACCAGCTTAAAATGTCAGGGGTCTTCATACCCGTTAAATTATCTCAGCAAATCCTTGTCACAACGTTGTATGCTACCTCAAAGATGATCTAGCCCAGTGATGGTGAACCTTTTGGGCTCAGCTGGTCAGAAATTTGGAAAATGCCTAACTTGATTCTGCTGGCGTGACACCCCCCCCAAACAAAAAAGAAACAATTCTTTACATATTCATTTATTTAAAAAAAAATACAGCCCAATCATGTGTGGTACTATGTATTGTATAAAGAAATGCCAAATAATTACAAAAATGAAATATGAGTAAAACAAATTCAGTTTCTTTGGTAACTCAAACAGGGAGAATAGTTGTTGTTGGGTGTTGGTAAATGCTGTTGGGTCATCTAAAACGTCATGGTGTGTCACCTTTGACACGCATGTCATAGGTTCAACATCACTGATCTAGCCCAAGCCTGCCAATGCCAACAATCATATTATGTCACTTTGCAGGTAGCATTTTACCTAAGCAGGCAGCATTTTGCCTGAGCCCACATGATGAATTCTACGTTCTTTGACCCTCTTTCCTGTCTTTATTGCTGTGGCCAGCAGCAGTTCTCTACGTGGAGGTCATTCTTCTGACTTGTAGCAAGTGATGCCAGAGGCTGAACCCAGGAACTTCAGAATGCAACCTATCTGCTCTGCCTCCAAGCTACGATCCTTCTCTTCAAACCTTAAAATCTTTTCTTACTCTCGGCCAGCGTGTGGGCAGGAGATAGGAAATGAAACTCCTGTAATAGCTTATTCAGATCCCACACAGCTGTCTGTCTTGGCTTTGGGCATTTGGCAGTTGTATTAAGCAAATGATTCCTCTAAAAACCAGCCTTACTTATACTGCCTCCCAGGACTGTCCAAGAGAGACCCCTTCATCTGTTAAGTATATATAAACATTTTATTTTCAGGCTTCTCCAACTGGACATCATATCATGTCCTACATACTCTGTTTTTTAAGCATGGAGAATACAGGTATGAATAATTAATCTCTGTGAATGGTTTTTTTAGTGGTGCATTACCATTGGTGCATTATTTGCAGGGGGGTTAGCAGCAGTGTAGAATCTCCAATTCTTCCATTTGTGCTTGGAGCACAGCATTAAAGTAGGTAGCATGTTGCAGCCAACTCAGAATCTCTGCTTCTTGCCTTGCCTTTTCATTGGAAAGCTTTTCAGGTGCAATGCAAGAAAAGAATACAGTCTCCTTCCCCAGTATCCCAGTCCTCTCTATCTTTGTTCAAAACCCAGACCAGCATTTTATAAAATGGATATCTACCTACCTACCTACCTACCTACCTTATTTTTACCTACCAAAGATACTTTGATATGCTGCCAAATTTGAGTATTTAGGATTTTTTCTTTCCCATCTCCTTACTGTAGTGCTACAGCTTGAACTTGTGCTCTTTTTTCAGAGCTTTGTTTTATGATTAATGGCAGCATCTGAGGTTTCAGAACAGACAGTTTTGGAACAGATCATACGGATCAAGAAATCCATTTTCCTCCTGCCCTATGATACTTTTTAAACAGAGATGTTAGGAAGTGAACTTATAACCTCAGACATTCATTTAATTTTTTTTTTCCAATCAGTACTCTACTATGAGCATGAGAGATGATTTGTGGTCAGATTTTGGTTGTACTGGATAACAGTTGTGGATCTTATAGTCCACCTGGAAGGCTCGGTATTGGGGGAAGGCTTCTGGGAAAACAAAACTTGCAGTGTTATTCATAAGTTCCATCCCTTTTCAATATCAGCAGCCATGATTTGGGGACTGAAGCTGGGAGGTGAAGAGTCAGTTTGAAGAAGAACCAAGCAGGTCATGCTTTCTGAGGAATGAGCACACTGGGATTAGCAAAGAAGATCTTGACTTAAATTATTCTGGAGAAGGATGATACATGTTACTTGCAGTATGTCTGGATGCTGGATGATGGTGGGCTATTAGAAATACAGATGAGGATGTAACAGCTTAAACCTGATTGAGGAAGACCCATGTCCTTTCTAAGAACAGGTGGGTGGGATTTTGTCTTAGCTTATGTCATTATGTCATAATGAGTTCACATGAGTCTTGCCTCTCCTTCCAGAATCAACCAGTTGGGCAAAAGTGCACCACTTGCCATAGAAATATTTTTCAACTAGTCATATTCTGGCACACAAAATAACATAGCAACAAAAGCCTGCAACTTGACAACAGGCAGTGCCTGCTAAAATAGAGAAGATAGGGAGAGAAAGTAGAAAATGAATGGGAAGTCTTTGGAGCTTGAAAACTAACTTGCTGGTTGATTGGATTGGGTGATGAGAATGTGGTAGAGTAGCTTTCTGTCATCGTTAATACATCTTGTTTTAGATTAGGGTGGATAACATGGCTTTTTTGAATATTGTTAAGATACAACTCCATTGTCCCTCACCACTGGTCATGCTAATGATGCTGGGAGTGGTTATTCAACAGCATTGGAGAGCCATTGATTCCTTTTATCTGTCTTCAAAACCCAGAAAGTTAAAAGATGAGTAGGGAAGTCTAGGGGTAATTTGACATGTAGTCAGACCTGGACTTTATGAACACTCTGTTTTCATAGAGTGAGTTCTTACATTATGGAAGGCCAGTGAGAGATGGTGACCGAAATAATAATATGAAAGTTGCTTCAGATTTTCATTAAAGTAAACATTACTGAGCATGAGCTAGAATGCAGCTTCATCATTGACATTCCTTTTTGCATTTTTAAAATCAGAAATCCCTTTGACCCAAGACTCACTGCTCTTCCATTGTAGCCTGTTTGAGATGAAAGTGGCTTTGTGGGTATGTACCTCGTCTGCAAAGTGACAGTGACATGGATTTGAAGAAAACTTTATCTGGTCCTGGAGAAAGCCATTTCCCCACAGTGCCTCCTGAGAGGAAGAGAGGAAGGGGTGACGTACAGAAAGACTCCTAGTACATTTCTTCCATTTTACTCACAACATCTTACTTTTCCTATTTCTTGCCCATATTTCAGATTTAAATGGTGCAGGACTAACAAAACATATGCATACACATTAAGCGTTGTACAAGGAGTACTAGATACATAAAAATAACTCATTATTAATAAGTGGGCAAAGCATAATGTTAACCCCCAAATTGTTGTGCACTTGTGCTCTACAAATGAAGGCAGCTTTGAGTCTCACTTGACTCAGGAAGGAGAAACTTCAGGGTAATATTTCTCGACTGTCCTGTAATGTGATAGATCTTGACTCTCATAATCTTTACCTGTCATGGGATTATGAGTGTTGAAGTCCAATTTATTTAGAAGGCACCAGATTGGAGAAGGCATTCTAAGCCTTTTCCCGCTTCCATTAGGAGCCTTGATACTATATAAATGTGAATAATAATAATAACAACAACAACAACAACAACAACAATACTGCTGCATTTTGGAGGAAATGCAAAGTTACAGGACTAATTCTCATAGTAGTTTGGCTAGTCAAAACAGATGTGTGAAAACAAATGACTGAGAAATGGGCCTCATAAATTCTTTTGTCTAAACTTTCTAAGACAATTTTTCCTACTTGATGTCTATCAGATCAGAAGGGCATGAGCCTAATGTAAATTGCAAATTCTGTAGCCATTTTTAATACTTCATACTGACTATATCAACATAGGCATTTCTGATTGTCTTGATTATCTGCCTAAGTCCAGATCTTAGGATTTTTGCAAAACTTAAACATTTTTTTCACAAGGGCTATGGGAGTAGTGGGGAAGAAGAAGTTTTGTTCATTAGTGAGCAACCTGTATTCCAGCAAAGTTAATTTCCCCTAGATCCGCAGGTACTTCTTAAGTACAAATGTGCTACTTTGGCTGCATAAGCGTTCAGATAATGAGTTTTGTGTGTGTGTGTGTGTGTGTATGTGTGTGTATCTGCCTACTCTCTGGAT